GTCGGTCGTCGGAATGGATATCTCAAATGCACGGTTTTAAATGATTTTTAAATTTAATTTATATATATATTCAAGCTACTCAAAGATATATATATAGTTTATAAAAAATAATATTTTAATTTTTGAAAATACAAGACCAAACCGACCTCATATCTGTAATAGTCTAAATGATTGAGCACAACACCACAAGCAATATATCTACCTCAAAAAATAGATACAGTACTTGTCGGTGGTGCTCGATTAAATAAACTAAAGAATTTATGACATCTATTTTAGTCTGCAAAAAATCATTTTTTAAGTTGACTGATAAATTCCCCTATCTAATACAAATAATCAGACAGGGTTTATTTTACCTGTGTTCTTAAAACTCCCTATAGAGGAAAGCTCCGATAGTCAATTACATCTTAAATGAGCGAAGTCATAGTAAAGAAAATTGTATTTTTGAAAATTGTATTTTTGATAGTAAAGAAAATTGTATTTTTGATGTATTAAGAATTTTAGAGTTTCATGTAAGAAGAAAAGAATGAGGCTTTATGAAAAAACATCAAAACTAATATGAATTTATAAAGTCAGGAAATGTAAGAAGTTTTAACTTTAAGAAGAGGATAGTGAAGTTCAGAAGTTCAAAACTAGGATAGTGAAGTTCAAAACTATTAAAGGCTATCCAGATATAACAATCCTCACTTGAAAAAGAAAAGAAAAAAAATGGGATTGAAAAGATCCTGAAAAGAAAAGAAAAAGAAAGCCAAAAAAGAGAAAAGAAAAAAATTTGAGGAGATGGCTAATTAAAAATTGGTTTCACTTGAATCAACTTAAGGAAAATACTTTATTACATTTTCTAAACTTGTATTTGAGTATTAACACCCTTACTAGTAAAGTTTTCATGAAGTTCTTTTTCATATGGATATTCTAAGAATCATTGATATGACAAATTATAATTCTTTTTGAAATGAATAGAGATTCAGAAATATTAGATTTGATTACTAAGTACTCTTAGACTTATAGTTTAAATCTAAGTTATTACAAGTTTTTCTTAAATTTTATTATTTTATTTATGAAACTTAAGCATAGAAGTTATAAGTTAATCTCTATCCTAAGTCATATGTTTATGTAGTAAAAGTGTCACTTGAGGACAAGTAATATTTAAGTTTGGGAGATTTTGATACATTAAAATAATGTGTTATTTTAAGTATACATTTTATACTTATTTTTTGTGATATTGCACTTTAAAGTGCACTTTAAAGAATGATTTAAAGAATGATATTTTTATGTTTTTGTTACATGTATATCAATTTTAGGCATTTGGAGCAAAAGTAGCAAAAATGACAAATTTGGGCTCAAAATAGTGAATTTTGTGGATCTGGCACTTAAAGCGCCTGATTTGGCGTCTGAAGCGCCATTTTACAGAGAGCTGGAGCCTTAAGCACCAGATTTGGCGCCTGAAGCGTCATTTTACAGAGAGGTGGCGCCTGAAGCGCCAGAAACAACGCCTGAAGTACTAGAATCCAAAACAGTGCGTACTTAAGCAACTTGGTGCCTGAAGTGCCAGAATCAGCTCTTGAGGCGCCAGAGACAACTTTTTATGAATTAAGGCGGTTCAGGACAAATTTTGCGTGAATTTTGAAGGGTTCATTTGTTCTAAACACCTCATGGAGTGGTTCAATGCATTTAAACACTTTGGAAGGTTCTTTAATGAAGGGATATGTCTCTTGGAGTATGACATATTTTTTTGAATTCAAAAGGGTTGACTTTTGGATAGTATTTTGGAGGGAATTTTGAATTCTTTTTGAAGGGAGGCAGTCTCTAATAAAAGAATGAGAAGTTTAGGGCTGAAAAAGGGGGCGTAAGAGGGAGTTTGAAAGGGGTTTTGGCGAGAGGGATAAAGTCAATGGCTTGGATATTTTCTTCAAGGTTTGTAAGATGAGAGGGAAAGTGGGAGAGTTCTTCTTCATTACATTTTCAAGAGAGAATTGAGAGTGCTTGTAAAAATAGAAAGTGCTTAAAGGAAACTTCTAGAGATTTGCTTGGGAAGGATTATGAGATGAGTTGTATCTTATATATAAAATCTATGTTTTGTCATATCCTTCTCATGAATTCTGAGTAGTTCTCTTTATCTTTCTCCCTACTTTGAGATATGATTTTGTGAAGGATTGATTTTGTTTTATATGGTTTAAAATGTCAATAATTTGTGATGATTTGAACTCCGGTCTTCATTTAATTTTTGATTTGGCCAATTGAAATGTTAAAATATGTTGAGAAACATATGCCTGAAAGAGCTATGATTTCTACAACATTGTGAGAGTCACATTCAATTTCATGGGAGAGGATGTCATCCATGGGGTTGAGTGCAAATAAATAGGGAAATATATTTTGTTATATACAAAATTAGAGATTTTAAGATGACCATTAATGCGAGATTGTTAGCCCTTAGGGGAAGAAGTAGTGGGAGCTCTGGAGTGGCAGCCGGTATCCTCCCAGCTTAACCACAAAATTAGAGATCAAACCATGGATTAGTCAATGTTCTTTATGCACTTGAAAGAGGGTAAAGAATAGTATTACTCTTATTTAACACAAAAC